CCCCCCCCCCCCCCCCGAAGCCAGTGCCCCTGATCAGGAGGACTACAGTAAGTCACACTACGGTGAATGCAGATGGACAGGGCAGCACGCTGGCTCATCACGAAGCTCTCCTCCTGGAGGGTTAGGTATGGCAGACAGAGATCCACAGTCCTTCCCCAGCCCTCTTCACACTCCCCATGTCTGTCTGAGACTGGGCTCCTCCGGAGCTGCTGAAGAGGCAGAGCTAAGATGGATGGGGAACCTTGGGCTGGGTAGATGGGGTCAGGGCACGACCTGCCTGGTTCAAGGGGCTGTCGGTTGGTTTACAATTTTATACAACTTTTAAAGGGCTGACAGCGCTCCGTGCACCGGCTGCTCACTGACGCTCAGGTTAAGAACTGCATGAAGGTCAACAGTATTTCTGCAGAGAAATGACACACAAGTCATAACTTTTGGAGCATTTAATAAATACACTATCTAACAGCACAGGTGACTGGTTAACTTGAACTTGCAGAACTTGAACTTGTCTGGAGTAAATCAGCCACAAAAGACTATCAACAATTATAAACCTCCTTAGAAGACAGAATCAAGCCTAAAAAACAAGTCAGTAAATCACAAAAGCCTGCACTAATGGCCAAAGGGTAAATAATTGAAATAATCTAAGTGCCAAATATATTTCTATAATCTTGGATGGGGGATAAATCAAGTGACAGATATATTGGTAGGTTACAACAGTCTGAAGTGCAGACAATCAAACAGCAGTACCTTGGTTAAATATTCATGACCCTTTATTGGGCTTAAAAGCATCATGGAGAACAACAGCGTATTCCTCATACCAAGATAACAACACCAGCGAGACAAAGGAAGAAGGATTAACCTGGTTTACATTAGATGAATGAATAATAATCACCACAATGGAAGTGCCGGCAGTAAAAATATTTCTAAGTTTACCCAAGGTTCAATGAGTGAGTGAGGCTGCATGTGAAAGTCTGACTGGTCATGTTGCCCAATCAAATGTTGTTATGCTTTTGTATACATGTAGCAGGTTTGACACATCTGAGCCATAACCAAGTGAGGAGCCCACGGTCCAGACAGGATGGCCTTTGAACGTCATGAAGTAAACGTCTATATGGTCTGCTCTAAAGTGCCTGCTGCTAATTACATCATTGTCCTCTAAGTTCAAGTCAAGCACCAGAACTCTGGCTAGAGGAGTTACGTAAACTACTGAGTAAATTATTCACTAGCACGGCTATTCAATAAGTGTACCCAAACACTTAGGATCTTACGATAAGACAAATACATACATAAGCAGCTTGGACCGGGGAGAGAGAAAGATGAACCTTTTAGTTTTTCGCGGTCCCCTGATTACTCGGTTAAACTGTTAGGGGTCCATTTTGTTAACCTCTGAAAGTGTCTGACTTATATTTCTATAAGGAGCTAAAGTAAGGGACACCCTCTGGATATTAGTGGGGCACCTCAAAACATCTGATTTGGCCTGGCTATGGTTTATGCCCAGCTGAAAAATGCATTTCTCAAAGGTTTTTGTTAACATTTGCTGCTTCTAGCTCCAAAAGCATCCAAACTTTTACCCC